AAWKKGTTTGCTTCCTTAAAAGTTTAAATAATCGAAAGAAAAAAAACAAAGATCACTAAACCACGAAATTTCAAAACCAAATGAAATAGCCATCTGAGGATCAATCTGCTCGCCTAACCAAAGAGGAAAGAACTCATGTTGAAATGCTTAATACTTTTAGAATCAAACTTGATCACTATGAGTTTTGACTGAGGTCAATCCTTGAGTGCTTCAAAGATGCTGAAATTCCACATACCACAAAAATGTCTTCATGGAGACCATCGTAATTTTGCAGCTCACGGATACAGATGTAGAATGAGGAACTGGTGGCATTTTCGATCCATAGACTTGCAGCGTCGTGCTTGTATGCAGAACTTACGTGATCTGCTGAAGCCAGAACGAGAGGCTTTGCAGAAAATTTACCCTGATTGTGTTTAAACGAATTGACTTTTGTCAGTTGTTTATGAGAGAAAATGAAATGATCTATACGTACAACTCAATCATTTTTACCGGAAATGGTGAAAAATCAAGCTAAAATATTTTTATTCAAATATTCGAGATGATGCAACTTTTCGAAGATAATCCTTATTAACAAAAAGGAAGCTCACATTGGGTAATGTAATTTTTTGGCATTTAGTTCCGGTCCACCATTCTGGAATCCGTGTTTTTCCCGCCACACCTCCATTTGGAGCACCTTGGTAAGCCATCCAATCAACGAATGCAAATTCTTTAGTACCACGGTCATTTCTTCCTGCAGCCGTTACGCAGACCTTTAAATATGAATGAATGAAAAAAAAGTGAAACAGATCAATTTTCTTTGCACCCTCTTTGCCATTGTTAATGATATGTGCGCGACACTGTCGAATGTAGACTACTTAATTTCACCGGGACCGAAATTGTACAAACTATGAAATACGACAAAAAGGTTTTCAGTAATGGATATTCAGCTTGTACAGGGACCTACATCAATGCAGCCAGCGAAGATTGCGGAGTTGTTAGGTCGACAGTTCAGTTTTGTTAAATAGTTAGTTAATGCTTAGGGAATCAAAACAATGTGTATTTCACTGGTTTCATGGACACGGAACTCTTAGTTCGATTAAATAATTTGATAGGAAATCTGGTTAAAATTAAATTGATAGATACTTGTCAAGTGATTGGAATATTACTCGCCCTAAAACTTTGGTAATTGACGTTTTCCACCCAAGAGACGGTGGCTTCGTGCACAAAATTCGTTCTGGTGGAGTTCCAGTGATTTGTAGTGATATGAACGTGCACTTGCTTGTCCGGATAGAACGAAAATGATGGGAAGGTTACCAACTCGCAAGCTGTATCAGCCCATGAAACATCTCGTTTCAGTTCAACTCGCCCACGTCGGACAGGAAAACCTAAATCAGCAACGACAAAGTTAGCAATGTAGCACGGTTTCAGTAAACATCGTTTAGCAGCTTTTCAGTCTACATCAGTTTTATAAGTTTGTGATTGCACCAAGCTGAAACACCACTAAACTGCCAGAATATAGTACAACGGAAGTCAACAGAGGTCATAGCAAGCTTTCAAAAGCTCTCGAAATTATCCTTTAACTATTAATTGTAGTAACTCCCCATAATATCCTAATGACAACATCATAATGACTTATACTAGGAATTAAAGAAGAAAAATTACACGCTTTTTCCGGTATGGCGAAACGCAGCAAAGAACCCTCTTGAATCAATCTTCCTTTTCGATGTACAGAGGTGAAATTCGTCTTTTTATGAATACCTTTGTGTGAAACCCCCTGACATATTGAATAGGATAAAAAAGAAAGAAAGAAATACATGAAAGTCAAGTTTAATTCTCACCAGTGCAACTTCCAGGATGATATAGGGTATGGTTACTCTTCAGCCTGCACATTTCCAGTTCAAAGATGCACTTGTTTTTAAATGTTGTAGAGTTGGATGAACACACTGGCTCCTCGTATGAAGGGCAGTTTTCTTCGCACACGCAGCGGGCGTCAAATGCGTCGAATGCCTTGCAGACAGCAAAGTATTCGCATGTAACGTTGATGCACGGGTCAAGGTCTTTGGATAGCATTAAATATAGTAATACAATGAGCTTTTTTTTTCATTATCATGATATGCATGAGAAGGAGAACTATCGAGACAGGAAAGATTGGGTTTATTACTTACGTTAATCCTATAAAACCCTGAGACTACAAAGTGAATCAGTTGTGACATCCCTTGATATGGAGCAATCCCTAACTCTCGAACGGGCCTTGGTATTTGCAACAATCGATGGGCGAAGCGCTTTCACAAGTTTTCTACAATGCTTACCTCCTATGACAGCATAATCTACAGCTATTGGATCGTGATTCCTACTTATTCCTTGGCTGTCCTTGACACAAACCTTAAACGCCGATTGACTGACTTCCTGTGAAATAATGATAAGATCAGACAGAGGTACAGAAAAGTAGTGTTCACCAAATATTATGACTTTCAAAATGTGTTATCCCGACTGACTTCCTATTTACAGCCTTGTTTAAAAGAAAACATGTTACGGAACTTTTTTCACTTATTTCACCCTCATTGCATTTTGTTAGCTCCCCACTGCCTGATTGATGTGCTCTGCTATTTTGAAACCAAATAACAAAATAAAAATGGAAAGATAATGCAAAAGAACAATAAAAA